AAGGTCACGGTGGGCTCCAGCTTCGCCTCCCGCATCGCGCTCAGCAGTCCCAGCGCCCGTTGCCACTGCTCGTCCTTCCCGCACGCGCTGATCGCAGCGCCGTAGCTGACGAAGGTGGGCTCCAGCTTCGCCTCCCGCATCTCGTTCAGCAGCGCCAGCGACCGCTGCCACTGCTCGGTCTCCTCGACCGCACTGATCCCAGCGTTGTAGCTGATGACGTCGGGCTTCACCTTCACTTGATACATCTCGTTGAGCAGCGCCATCGCACGCTGCCACTGCTCGCCCTTCCCGCACGCGCTGATCGCAGCGTTGTAGCTGATGACGTCGGGCTTCACCTTCACTTGATACATCTCGCTGAGCAGCGCCATCGCACGCTGCCACTGCTCGCCCTTCCCGCACGCGCTGATCGCAGCGTTGTAGCTGATGAAGGTGGGCTCCAGCTTCGCCTCCCGCATCAAGCTCAGTAGCGCCAGCGACGGCTGCCACTGCTCGCCCTTCTCGCACGCACTGATCCCAGCGTTGTAGCTGACTAGTGTGAACCCGTGGAAAATCCACGGCCCGCAGGTCCAAGCGTTGGTCCCGAACGCGCACGTGCCAGAAGCGCTGGAAGCGTCAAAAGTAATGTGTCTTTGCTAATCGCGCGAGGCCTGGGCGCGATTAGCAGAAACACGTAGGTTTTCAGACACAATCAGAGTAAGGGGGCCCGAACGATCTTACAGAGTCCCTGTGCGCGAGAAGTTCGATGTGGGGGGTGGACGCGTGGGGGCCAGAGTTGGGCGTTACGTTGGGGGGCTTCGTTCGAGGGCCACGTTGGGGGGTCTCGTCAGGGGGTCATGATTGGGGGCAACGTTCGCGGCCCTGCCAGGGGCCAATGTTTGGGGGCCGCGTGCGGGGTTCGGGGGCACATGTGACGGTCGCGTTTGAGGGTGCGGGGTTCGTGGGCAGATGTGACGGTCACGTTTGAGGGCAATGGTTGGGGGCTGTGTGTCTTGGGGCCACGTTTGGGGGCGCCTGGGGGCTACCCGTGGGGTTGACGTTCGGGGGCCACGCTTACTGGGGCGGCAGGGGCGACCTTCGGAGGCTTTGTGTGGGGGCCGCCTTTGGGGGTCCCGTTTGGAGGCCACGCGTGGGGCCGACGTGTAAGGGGCCACGTCCAGGGGCGATCCCAGAAAGCAGTCGGGGAGCCACGGGGGCACTGACCTGGAAGCGTGAAAAGGAATGGGTTCTTGCTAATCGCGCTGGGACTGTGCGCGATCACCCCAAACTCAAGGCATGGTCCACGGGGCCCTCGAGGCACGTCTCTGGGGCATTTCGAGGCCGTCGTGGGGCTCTGGCCGGATCGGCTTCGGCTCTCTTGGACGTCTTTGGGGCCGTCTTGGAGCGATGCGGGGGTCCGGGAGCCGTCGGGGAGCGCTCCAGGGGCGTCCTGGGGGCGTCGGGGAGCGGCTCAGAGCTCTGGCAGGTCGAAGCCAGCAGAACCGAGAGAGCAGCGGTGAGGCCGCCGATACAGCCAAGGGTGCTGGTACTGGTATACGTAGGGTCTCCGAACCGGCTGTAGTGGCCTGCGGGCAATCTCGCCGAGGGCCTGGGTAATGGGTAAGAGATCTCGTGGATGTTGGTTAGGATCTCATGGTTGGCCTGTCGGGAGCCTCCAGGAGACAGTTTGGGGGCTTCTTGGTAGCAGTTTGGGGGCGTCTTGGGGGCTCTTGGGCCCTCTTTTGGGGCCTGTGGGGCGTCCTGGGGCCTCCTGGGGATGTCTTGGGAGCGTCCCGGCGTTTCTTTGGGGCGTCTTGGGGCTTCCTGGGGGCCTCTTGGGGTGGAGGCCTCAATTTTTCGGTTCTGGGTCCTTGTCTTGGGCCTCTCTTGGGGCCTTCTTGGGGCCCTCTTGGGCCGTCTTGGGCGACTCCTGGGCCGTCTTGGGGCCCTCTTGGGCCGTCTTGCGGCCGTCTTGAAGGCCTCTTGGGCCGTCTTGGAACGGTCTTGGGGGTCTCTTGGGCGGTCTTGGAGCGTCGGAAAGCCGAAAAAGCGAGAAGGCTAGAAACATCGAAAAAAACAATGAAAATCAACGATTTTGGCTTCTGCGGCCCCTCTTGGAGGTACACTTCGAGCGCTCTGGGGGCCTCGTGGTGGCGTCTCGGGCGTCTTGAAGGCGTCTTGAAGCCATCTTAAGCGTCTCGGATACACTCTTGGACCGTCTTGGGCCGTCTTCGGGACCTCCTGAGGCCGTCTTGGGGCGATCTGGGAATCCTGGATCAGTCCGCGAACGGTCCGGGGGCCTCCCGGGCCCGTCGGGCAGCGGCCGGGAGGCTTTCCGGGCGGCCCGCGAGCTCTCCGGGCGGCCTGGGGCGCTGCCACTGCTTGTGCTTCTCGCGCGCGCTTCGCCTGGAATTGTAGCACAGACTAGGGCTGACCCGCGGCCTCCGGCCGCGGAATTTGGCCACCCTGGCGTGGACGTGGAAGTGGAGCGTCTCTGGGGCCTCGCGGGTAAGTGGAGGTTGGAGGGGACGGCGTGGATGGAGGAGGTGGCCGCTGGAGAGGAAGGTGGGCGAGGGATGCAGGCAAGCAGGCCTGAAGGCAGGAACGCGGTGGTGGAGGCGGTGTCAGTGGCAGCACACCCATGTAGGCATGACATGGTGTGGACAGAAGCTGTTTCTGACGCCGCAGTCTGTGTTCATCATAGCTTCTGCGGGGAAGGTAGCCGTGAGAAGTTTATCTGCTCTTCGCTGGGGCCGAATGATAATTTCATCTGGCAGTGTGGTGACAATGGGGCCAGTGGGCGTGGCCTAGGAGGCCCGCAAGAGGGCGGCGAGACGGAACTCCGTAAGAAGGGCCCCAGTGCGAGGACACGAATCGACTTTTCGAGCGCACTTCCCCAAGACGTCCCCAAATAGCGCAGAGATGGCTCCCAGAGGGTCCAAGAAGCCTCCAAAACGATGCTGGAAGTTCGACGCGCCCCAAGAGAGAAGCATCCAAGGCCTCTCGGGGGCTACTTGGGGGCCTCTTTTCGTCCTCCTGGGGGTGGGCCTCTCAGAGCCCTCTTTGGCAGTCTTGAGTGCATCTTGGGCCGTCTGGGGGCTATGTGGGGCCGTCTTGGGCGCCTCTCGGACCGTCTTGGGACCATCTTGGGGCCATATCCTGGGCCAATTACTGGGACTGCCTTCGGTGTTTCTTGAGCCGTCTCGGGCGGGCCGATCGCGGGGGCGGGAGACTGCCCGGGGTGCCGAGGCCTCCGCGCCCGCTCCCGGGGGCGCGGGCGGAGCCGAGCGCGGCCCGCGGCCCGGGGTGCGAGGGCCGCGGCGTCCGAGCTCGGGGCCGTGGGCAGGCTCTACCACGCCAGCCCTGCGCTGCCAGGTCGTCCTCGTCTGCAGCCCAGGAGCCGCCCCGCAGGAGGTCCGTCTCGCGCTCCTGGGGCGCCTTGGGGGCCTCTTGGGGGCCTCCTTTTGGAGCCCTCAGGAGCATGGTGGGAGTCGCGGGCCCCTCCTGGTCGCTCCTGAGGCCTCGTTGGGGCCTTCTGGGGGCCGTTCGCGGCGTCTTTGAGCCTCCTTGGTCCTCGCTGGAGCCGTCTTGGCGGCCTCTTGGGGCGTCTTGGGGTCTTCTTGGGGCCCTCCTGATGGCCTCCTGGGCCGTCTGGGGCCGATGGGGAAGTCCCCGAGGCCGTCTTGAATGGTCGAGAATCCCAGAAAAGGCGAGCAAACTAAAACCCTTTAAACACTAATGGAAATCCTGGACTATTGCTTCTTGAGTCTCTCTCGGGGTTCCTCTTGGGCCTTTCCTTGGGCGGTTTGGAGCCTTTCGGGGGCCTCCAGGAAGCTGTCAGAGGCACGTCTGGGGTCTCGGACCCCTCGTCGCCCCTCTTGGGGCGTCGTTGGGGCCTTCTTGGGGTCTTCCTGGCGATCTGTGAGCCTTCTTGGGGCTCTGTAAGGCCGTCTGGGGCGGTCGGGAACCCGAAACGGCGATCAAGCTAAAATCCTTCAAACACCGAAAGAGAACATCGTTGAACCTCTCAGGAGCCATCTGGACGCGAACTTAGGGCTCTCTCAGACACCTTGGGGCTCTCTCAGGAGCCCTCTGGGCGCGAACCTAGGGCGTCTTTGGGGCTTCTTCGGCCGTCCATCTTGAACAATCTTGGCGGACTACCGGGTCGTCTTAGGACCTTCCCCAGCGTCCTGGAGCCGTCTTGGGGCACTCCAGAGGCTCTCAGGACGGCCAGGGGTTCCCTGTAGATACTTAAGCCCCAAGCCCTTCTCGCACGCAAATGCCCCTGCAGTGTGGTTTAGAAGACTGGTGCGAACCCGTGGATTCAATCCACGGTGCGCTGAACCTGGGAGTTTCTCACCGTGGGTGAAGAGCTCGTCGAAATTGAACAGCTCGGGTGTATCTGGGGTCCGTTCGGGGGCATGTTTGGGTCCTCCTGCGAGCCTGTCTGGGGCGTCTTGGAAGCATCTTGCGCTATTTTGGGCGCCTCTGGGGCCTTTCCTAGGCTGTCCCCCGCAACCTCTTCTGGGGGACAGCCCGGGAAGCTTATTGTAGAATCGCCTTCCGGCTGTCCTGGGGCGTCCGTGGAGCTCTCAAGGCTCTGTGGCGACTCTCTTGGGGTTTTCTCGGAAGGAACTTGGTGTTCTTTGCGACCGTCTTCAAGCGCTCTGGGGCCATCTGGGGGGCCTTTTGGGCCATCGAAGGCCTCTCCTGGAGTCTTGGGCACTGTTGGCGCGATGTAGCACGCGCTTGGGGCCGTCTGGAGCCGGTCTTGGGGGAAAACTGGGGAGAACCCGAACATCCATTGAGCATTTTAACCAGCGTGGGCCCCAACTGGTGTGCTTCGAATAATCGATGTTGTGCACTGTAGGTTGTGCAATCTAGGTTGTGCTATCTACGTGGTGCAGTTTTTGTGGCGCACTTGATTTTTGCAAGCGAGTTGACGAAATCCATGCTCTTGCAAACATCCCGCCCACCCACCCGCAACTTGGCTTGCAAAGCCCATGCGGCGGCGATTGCGATAAGTACTTGGCGTCGGCTCGTGCATCTCCGCGGCCGCGCTAGCCCGCGCATGCTCGCGCGCACAGCGGCCAGCTAGTTTGGCGTGACCGACGCGGCCGCGGTGGCGCTGACCGCTGGGCAATTCCCAACGGGCACTTCAGTGCGAGCCGGTGACTTGGGCGGGCGCGGTATCATGGCGACGCCGACAACCGTAAACACGATTCTTAAAGTAGCGATGGTGCCGCAGGTGGCGATGACGACGGCAAGGCAAATGACGGCGCCGATGTTGATCACGCCCGCCGATAACGATGACGATGTCCTCGCGTCGGCGATGAAGGTTTTTGAAGGAGTTCGACATGCGAGCGCGGCTGACGCGCGCGATTGGCCCGCGCTTTATCATTTGACACGGATCGTGCCCCCCCAGCACGCGCGCAAGGGCGTTCGAATGAGTTCGACATGCGGCGCGAAAAGCCCGTTTGGTAAATTTTGATGAACATGTTGAAACAGCGATGTATGTGTGTGTGCGCGTGTGTGTGTGTGTGTGTGCGTGTG